ACGCACGCCATCGCACGCCCTGGGAGGAGGAGGAATAGAGGAGGAGCGCACCGGTCCATCCGCCGGCAAAGTCCATGCGGGCCGGCAGATCCACCACCACCTGGCGGGCGGGCGGGTGGGTGAGGCAAGAAAGATGATAATATAATATTGGGGGGGGGATGCACTGGACTGCGAGGGGACGGGAGGTGGGAGGTGAGGAGGAAGAGGGGGGGGGTATAGGCGAACCCAGGAGCCGAGGGGCGCGCGGGCCGAGGGAGGAGGAGGCGGGGCTGCCGCGACGTGGCGCTGGGCGGTGAGCACGGACAGGGAGACCATCACCTGCGCCGCCCGCTCGTAGTGTCGCACGGCGCGCATCAGCAGCTCCGGCGTCTCCCACGCCATCCAGGCGGCCCGCTGCTGCGCCAGCTCCCGGATCGCCTCCTCGAAGCGCTGCCCGGCCAGCAGGTCGAATGCGGCCTGCCATCGGCTGTTGCGCGCCGGCCCCGAACGCAACCCTACACGCGATACAGAAAGAAGCATACCCCACCACCAATCTCATCGACTGCTCTCGTGCGTGTGTCGTCGTCGTGTGTGTGCGTGCGTGCGTGCGTGTGTGCGCGTGCGCGTGTGTATTGTGAGAATACCTGCTCGAGGACCAGCGAAGGCCGCCAGCGCATCCGCGATCGCCGCCAAGGAGCGCATCACCACCAGCGCATCGCCCGCCTGCACCCAACCACACAATATGTTCATCGATCATGCAGATGGTGAAGCGAGTGGCTGGTGGGTGGCTGGTGCGTACGCGAGCCGCCTGGATGCCCGCGCTATCGAGGGCACTGAGGAGGAGGTCGGGGCGCTTGGCCCGCACAAAGGGCTCGAAGAGGGGCAGCAGACACTCATCGCTCCTCGCCAGCAGCACCTGCTGCATCTTCTCCCGCGCCACGCTGAACCCTGCACCCCACCCCCAGCCCCACACGCACCATCAGTTGCCCACCACCCACCACCACACACCACAACAACCACACCTCCCGTCCCCTACCCTAGAATTTTTGGATATTGTTTTTTGTGGTGGGTGGTGGTGGTGGTGTGTGTGTGGTGTGGCGGGCGACACTCGATATGTCCACCACACACCGGATGTTTCCGGGAGTCAATCGGGGCGGGGGCGGGGGCGTACCGAGGTTGTCGCGCCAGAGGAGTTCGGGGTGGGGGAGGGCAGTGGCGAGGAGGTGGGCTAGGGAGACGCGTGGGAGGGCGCGCAGGCGGTCGAGGGAGGGGCGATGGGCGGGACAAGCCGGGTCGGAGTAGGCCTCCACCGCCGCGCGTCGCACGGCATGCGCATCGGCCTCGCCGTCGCCGTCGCCGGAGTAGAGCGGAAACAGGCGGCACTCCCACAGCCGGCAGTGCCCCGCGCCCTCGGCGCCGCCCTCCTCCTGGTCTGACTCCCACACATCGCGGGCATCCCAGCCGGCGGCCTCCAAGAACTGCGCGATCGGGCGGCCGAACCAGCTGTCGCTGTCGACGTCATCGGTCACGCCCATCGCCACAGTGCAGCGAAGCCGCCCGGCTCCCGGTGCCCCATCTTTGTCAGCTCTCGCCGCGACGACGACAGCCCGCTCCTGGGAAGGCGAAGAGCTCGCGCGCGAGCAGGTTGGTTGGTTGGCTATGGCTGTGGTTGGTTGATGGGGGTGGTGCGTACGTGGCGGTCGAGCTCGAGCTCGAGCTCGTGCACGTAGACGCCGGGTCCCACGTGGAGGGCACCGCCGCGGATGCCCGAGACGAGGGACTCGTCGCCGATGCGCCAATGGCCCGTGAGCACCGAGTGGGCGAGAAGACTCCCGGCTCCGATGCTCCCCTCGCCCTTCCCGATGCTGTTCAGCACCACGCTGCTGCCCTCCGCTCGCTCCACCTGGCGGAGAGAGAGAGAGAGAGGGGAGGGGGGGGATGTTGAGCAGCGGCTGCCATAGAACGGAAAAGGAACCCTCCCCTCCATGATGCTGCTGATGGAATGCCGTTGTGTGTGTGTGTGTGTGTGTCGTGCGTGTCGTGCGTGTCGTGTGTGTGGTGGGAGAGAAGAGGGAGAGCGGGGTACTGTGGGGGCGAGGAAGGAGCGAGCGTGGTGGGCCACGCGCAGAGCCGGTGGCGGACGCTGCAGGAGCTCGAAGAGGTGGGCCGTGGTCCGCAGGTAGAGGTACTGCGCCCCGGGCGCCGCCACGCAGGCCCTCAGACGCGCCGCCTGGTTGGCGCGCAGGTACTGCCAAGCCGCCTGCATGCGGAGCCGCACGCACGCACGCACGCACGCACGCACGCACGCACAACACCCACACCCACACACCCACACACACGCACGAACGCACGCACGCACGCACCATGTCCACGTGTGACACGCCCCATAAAGAGGTGGGCGGGTGGTCAGCCGGCGGAAGGAATGGACAACTGGATCCCTGGGACAGTAGAGAATGGTAAAATCTGGGGTATCTGGCTATTGGGGGGGGGTACCTCGCGTAGGTGCCGTACGCGGGAGGAAGGGGAGGCCACGCGAATGGGCTGGTTCAGGTAGGCTTGCTTCTCGCTCCCCGCCGCTACGAAGCAGATCCCCAACGCCCGCACGCACGCACGCACGCCGTCATACAAACGGGTGCAGGTGGAGGGGGGAGGGCGGTGGGTGGTTCGGTACCGAGCACGAGGAGCAGGTCGGAGTAGAGGTCGAAGGCTACCGGGGTCGCGCCGTTGTCCACGGCCAGGTAGGTGCAGCTGTCCAAGGGCGGCACCGCATTGAGTCTGCATGCGCCGAAGGTACCACGCAACGCAACGCAACGCAACGCAAATGGATCAGCGGAACGAAGAATAGAGAGCGCACCTGTCGGGCGAAAAGAGTAGGGAGGTTGGGAGGGGAGGTAGGCACGCACCGCAGAATCTCCCCGGCGAGGCTAGACCCCAGCACGACGACCCCGGTGTAGACGTAGGCGGTGGCCAGGGCGTCGCCCACGAGCGCGCCTCTCTCGCGGAGGGTGGTCAGGCTCTGCTGGTAGAGGATCGTCTCCACCTGTTGAACGATGAGAGACGGTCACCGTGCCCCCCCCCCCACCACCACCACCACATCGCCGCCACCGCCGCCACCACATCACCGCCGCATGTGAGCAGGCCGGGCCGGGAGGGGCACGATGAACGCAGCGATGGGTATGGGCGGGGGAAGGGAAGGGAAGGGACAGGAGAGGGAACCTCGTGGTAGCGGGCGGAGGCGGCGGGGAGAGGTCGCAGGAGGCACACGCCGTGCTGGGGCGCGAGGTGGGCGGGAGCCTCCACCGCCAGCAGGGTGGCGCAGTCGGGCGACACCCCGCCCAGTTGGCCCTCGCCCTCGTCAGGCACCACCAGCAGCGCTTCCGTGCTGCCCACCACCACACCCGATTCCAGACCTGCAACACAAATCACACACGACACACACGACACACACACGACACACACAGCCCGCGGCCACGATGACCATGAGTAATGGGCTGGGGGGATCCATGACGGGAGAGATGTGGATGAGGAGGTGGTGGGGAGTGTGCCATGGCACAGGCGCACGAGGCCCGCGAGCAGGAGGTCGATGGCGGCCACCACCTCGTCTCCCTCCTGTTGCGGCTCCGACTGCTCCTGGCGGCCTGCCACGGGGGCGAGAGGCAGCAGGGCGAGTGCTTTGGGCACGGGGTCCGCTGGGGGGACGCGCGGCCGATCGCGACCTCCCAAGTGAACGATCGCAATCAGCCCTGTTGCGACACACACACGACACGACACACACGACACACACACACCCACCCACCCACCCACACACCCACACACACGACACGACACATACACACACGACACACAACCGCACACAACCGCACATAATCACACAACCACACACACGGTCGGTTACAGCGACGCCCATCAGTCTTTGCGCGGGGGGGGGGTTGGCCGCACCGCGCTGCACCACCTGGCTCTCGACGAAGCTGTACCCCTCCTGCGCCGAAAGGTGCTGTACGCGTGGCGCCACCCAACCGTAGCGGTGAGCACCCTGGCGCACTCACACCACAGCCGCCACCACTACCGCCACCCACACATGCGTATGTCTTGGGGGGGGGAAGGCTTGTTTACCTCGGCAAGGACGAGGAGGGCGTTGAGGGTGGCGGCACCGGAGCCCAGGGGCGCCGTGGTGGACGGGGCAAAGTCGGGGGCGGCCACGAAGGTGGTGCCGCTGGTGAGGCCCGACTCGTGTGTCCCCACACCCCGCTCCTGGCGCAGGCGCAGGGCCGCCACTGCCTCAGCCACGTCAGCCTGCGCTCCCGTCACCGCCACCGCCCTCCAGCCAGGCCTGTCCGAACGTGCGCTCCCTCCTCTTCCGTCTGTTGTGCTGGCCATGCCTGCCTTGCTGCTGCTGGGGCTGCTGCTGTTATGTGTGGTCGTGGTGCGCTTTGGGTGGCGCGCTCGGGGAGGGGCCTGTCAGCTTGGCTTCTCCTCTCGCCCCTTCTTGCAAGTTTTCGAAACGTTTTTCAATATTTGATTTATTTGTTATTTATTTATTTACGGTAGGCGCGGGGTGGTGACGATGGTGATGGGGTTGTGGCGAGAAAGGTAGGGAAGGTGGCTCAAGGCTGCGGCTGCTGCTGAGGTTGCTGTGGTGGTCCCTCCCGCGCGGCAGAGCACTTGCGGCAATGAGTGCGCGACGCGAAGTTCAGGTCGTTGCACTTGGGGCAGAACCAATCGCCTGCCGCATTGGGGGAGCAAGTAGGTAAGTCCACGATTCGGCTCACCATGGGCCGTGTGTGTGATCTCGCGGTGGAGAGATCTGCGAGATCTGGGGAGGGGGGGGGAGACGGTGCGCACCTGGCTTGACCCCGAGCACGGTGGTCGATGCGCTGCGCGGCGAGTTGCACTGGCGACACGAGTTGCGCGATGCAAAGTTGAGATGGGCGCAGCTGGGGCAGTGCCAATCGCCTGCAATGCACCGGCGAAACGCCTCACCAGTGAGGCGCCAAGGCGACAACCAACCAACCACGAACAGAAGGTGGTGGGTGGGCGGGTGGGCGGGGAGGGGTACCGGGCTTGGCGTTGGAGGGGATCTGGGCCTGGGCGTACATCATGCGGAGCGAGGGGTCCAGGCCGGCGGGGTGCGGGGTGTTGCACCGGCGGCAGGCCGTGCGGGCGGCAAAGTTGAGGTCCTGGCACGTGGGGCAAAACCAGTCCCCGGGCTTGGTCCCGATCGTGGGGTCCGAGAAGGCCGGACGTGGCGCCGTGCACTTACGGCACGACTGCCGCGACGCAAAGTTGAGCTCCGTGCACGACGGGCAGAACCAGTCGCCGGGCTTGAGGTTCTACTCGAGCAGCACCCCAGCCAAACACACGACAAAAAAAAGGAAACAACAAACAAAGAAAAGTGTGTGAGTAGGGCCACGCCAGGCGCAGAGGAGAAGAGAAGCCATGTGGGGCGAGTGGGTTGCGCGAGAGGGGGGGGAGGACGTACGCCGGCTCGGCCCATCATCTGCGTGAGGGCGGCTTGCTGCTGGAGGGCGAGGGCGTGCTGCATGGCGGCAGCCTGGAGTTGCTCCTGCATGGCCTTGAACGCTTGTATTTGCTGCATGGCCTGGAGGGCGAGCGCTTGGTCGTTTACCCCGCCACCTCCTTCACCCCCCGGCATGCCCGAACCAGCGCCGCCACCGCCGCCCCCACCAAGGCCAGTATGAGTACCGCCCGCCGCCGCGTTAAGGTGCTGCTGCTGCTGCTGCATGGCCGCCGCTTGCATGTCCCCCATGGACGGGTAGTAGGGTTGATGCGAGGGGGGGCCATAGGGGGAGGCGAGGACGGGGCGAACAGTGTTACACCGGCGGCACATCTGCCTCGACGCAAAGTTCAAGTCATGGCACTGAGGGCACAACCAATCTCCTGACCTGATCATTTGTGCTGTGTGTGCTGTGACGATGCTGCCCTCGGTTGTCCGCGCTTTGTCGTGCTATTTTCTTTTTTCTCTCTTTTTTCTCTCTTCTTGCTTCCCACGCAGGGGGTCACGTGGAGGAGAAGTAGGTGTCCACCAACTCCCAGATGGCGTCCCTGGAGGGCGGCGAATAGCGACTCGTGGCAGCTGCCTGCTTCGGTGGCCGGTGCTTTGGTCGCAAGATCTGCTGGTGTGACGGCGACGCGGTGGCGGTCGTGGTCGGCGCGGGCGTCCTCTGGCCAGACTCTGCACTGAGGGTTGCGGTGTGGGGGGGCGGCCGCGGCGGCGGTTCGGCCGAGGCTGAGTCGACCGCCGTGATTGTGATGGTCGTCGTGGTCTCCGTGATGCCTTCTCGGTGTCGCCTTCGCAGCTCCACGACCGCCGCCTCGTCCCTATGGTCCTCCGCGAGAGTGCTCGTTGTTGTCGTCGTTGTTGTCGCTGCTGCTGGCGGCGGCGGGGTTGGCGGTGTTGCTTGTGTCGTCGTGAGCCTCCGCTTCTTTGGTGCGTGCCGGGTCTCCTCGTGCACGGCGTCGGGGGTCGTGCTCGGGCGCGACACGCCGTGCGCATCGTCGGGCGCGCGGGCTCCCTCCGGCCGGCGCGGCGTGTCCAGCGGGATGGGGCTGTAGGGCGGAGAACGAGGCAGGAGGTCCTCCTCGTGCAGGAGCTGCGCACCCAGGAGGAGGTCGGGACTGCACGCCACGCCACGCAGGCAAGCCAAGAAGAAGAGGTCTCCCCGAGTATGAGAACGCGAGTACTCCGGTGCCAGAGGGCAGGGGGCCGGGAACGCACGTCTGCGAAGAGGAGGGGAACAGCGAAAAGGGCGAGGGCGGCCCGGAGTGGGTGGACGAAGCGGTCGGCCACGCCGGCGACCTACTTCGGCAGACGGTGGGTGGGTGGATTGGTTGGTTGGTGGCCGAGCCAAGACACCACGCGCACGCGCCATGTAGAGGAGGGAGGGGGGATGGACAGGCAGGGACGGCGGACGTACCGCGGAGTGGCGGCCGCCAGGGAATCACTGTAGGCGAACGCCTGAGTGCGGTAGTACAGTGGAGGCGAGAGGCTGTGGTGTGCGGTATGATGTAGATGCCGCACGGGGTGTGCCACGGGGCGTTGCGAGAGACAGGCTTAAGCAGGAGTTGGCGGTCCGCCGTTCGACATCATAATTAGGATCGGTGGTGGGGTAGGGGGGGGTACGTCTTGGGCGAGGGCGTGGGGCGCGGTGTGGGCGAGGCCGCCCACCAGCCCTCGAGCGGGTCCATCGGAGGGAACATGTCCATCGTCGTGGCAGCGACAGCGACCGCTACATCGCCTCCACTCCTCGCTTCGTCCGCCTCCTCTACGGCTGGAGAGGGGTCACGCGCAATGTGGCCCGGGAGCAGGTGGTCGGGCCGGTGCTCACGGAGACAGGTAGCTGTCTCCGTCCCAGGACTGCTGCTGTGTTCATTTGCCTTCCGAGGTTCGTGTCGCTGCCTGGCGCCGGCCTCTTCCCCCGCGGCCGGCTTTACCTCGAAATCTAGCCCCTGATCGTTGTCTGCAGCGTGGGCGCAGCCAGAGCCGTAGCTGTGGTTTGTGGAATCCTCTTCGCTCTCCGCGTTGTTGTCGTCGTCATCGTCGTCGTCGAACAGGAGCTTCCACTCGAGTGGCGGCTGGCTCGCGTAAAAGTCCTGTGACTCTGATGCCTCCTGCTGGCGTCAGAGGCACGGTAGGGCACGACCGATCAGCGGCCGACAACAAACCACTCACACACGTGCACGCGCGGGTGCAATAGGTGTATACTTCGGAGAGGGGCGGGCCTCGCTGGCTCGGGGGGAAGGAGAGCAGGTCATCCTCTACGTGAGCCTGTGACTCCATGCTCGCGGCGGGCCAAGGCACCTCACTTTCTCCTTTTGTGGTCGCCGCGCACGAGCTCGTGCATGAACGCGTCAGTCGGAGTAGAGTCAGGAGAGGCCCATCCCCCCCCCAACACACATCGGAAAGGAGAGTGGTAGGGGTTGTGTGGGGGGGGGCAATGCACCAAGCAGCTGCTCGAAGATGGCCTCCTGGGACGCAGAGATCACGCACTCTCGCTCGTCCAGCTCCGGACAAGAGGCCTCGGCCATGTGGATCAACATGTCCTGCGTGCTCTCTGTAGATCGGGGTAGAGAGAGAGAGAAGAGACCGCGTGCACAGAAGACGTCATGCACTCGCTCCACCAAAACGAGCGGACAAAAACCAGTTGTCTAACCTCGTGCACGAAGAGATATGTTGTGTGTTTACAGATATAAAGCGTCGTATACATACCTTCTGGGGCGTGGCTCGGACGTGGCGGGCACCTGTGCGCCTCACGCCGCTGGCGGAGCAGGGCCTTCACGGCGGGGTCGTCCAGCACGGGGATGGGATCGCCAAAGGGGAAGCACTGATCAGAGTTGATGGTGGCAAAGCCGTGCACCACGAGGCAGCACGAGGCCCCGCCTTCGTCCAGCGTGAGCTCGCACGCGCGCAGCTTCACCAGGTGCCCCAAGAGCCGCGGCACCGAGTAGCCCTCATTGGCTCTGCCGCGACGTCCATCCATTGTTAGTTGACGTGGTGGTGCACCACCACCCACGAACAAGCAAGTGCCGGCGGGCAGGCGGGCTGGCTGATGGAGGAGAGGTACGCGAGGAACTCCTGGATGGCGCCGGGCGTGAGGAGCGCATCGATGCAATGGAAGCTGTCCGACAGTGTGCACTCGGCCGCCACGCTTTCGCTCACGTACTTGTGCACCTAAGGCCGCAGAGAGGAGAGAAGCGCGCAGAGGACAAAAGCGCCATGACACACCACCTGAGACCCCCTTTGCCCGCTTGGCCTGCAGCCGCCTGCTTTGCGAGGAAGCTGATTTTCCCGGATTGGGGGGGGGTGTAACGTACTTTGGTGATCTGAGCAAACGGCTTTTGGGAAGGAAGGGTGGAGGGGTCCAGCATAGACTTCAGGATCCATTTCTTGCGCAGCAGGGACGCCATCCCGCCTAGACCGTGGGTGTTGGTTTTTACTGGAAATAAAAGAATATAAAAACAACAAAAGCAGACAGTTCGGCTGATTCGCGCGCAGATCAAAGGATGGAAAAGGACGGCAAGAGCGGAGCGGGCAAAGAGATCGCGCAGGAGGGGCTGGCCGCCGACGCCGAGGGCTACAGCCCGTACGTGAACAGCGAGCACGGTGTGTCGCTCGTGTATCCGGAAGAATGGAAGAAGAGCGAGGGCTACATGGGCACGATCGTGTCCTTCCTCTGCCCTGACGACGCCACGGGCCGCACGTCGCTCAATCTGCTGGTGCAGGAGGTGCCGCCCGGTATCACCCTCGAGGACTACTCGGCCGAATCGCTGGGCCAGATGAAGCAGATGATGGCCGACACGGAGTTCAAGGTGTGGGACGGCGACATGTTCGCGCAGGCGGGCAAGCGCATGCAATTCGTGGCGGACATGGGTCCCTTCACCGTCAAGGTCTTCCAGGCCTGGACGGTGGCCAAGGACCAGGCCTACATCCTCACCTACTCGGCGCCCGCCGACACGCACGACCTGCACCGCGAGCACGTCGAGAAGGTGATCGCCTCCACCAAGTTCGTCAAGGCCGAGCCCAAGGAGAAGCCCATCGAGCTCCTCTGCCTCAAGCACTACGAGAACCCCACCCACGCCTTCCGCCTCCGGTCCGTGCTCCCTGGCTGTTGTTGTTGTTTTTTTTTAACCATTCTTTTTTCTTCTTTTCTTTTGTAATTATTATTACTATTATTTGTTTACGTTCTTCTTTGGGCGGTGGGGCGTGGTGCGTGGGGCGTGGGGCGGTGGTGCGTGGGGTGGCACCTGTCCAGGTTCCCGCGCACGTGGACGGTGAAGGAGCCCGAGCGCGAGGGCGGCCCCGTGGTGCAGGCCAAGTACGAGGACGCCCTCGCCGTCCTCGACACCCAGACCTACACCCTGACCGCTGACGTACACGTGCCCCCCTCCCTCTCAAAATCTCCACCACCCTTCTTGCTCACGCAAAAGACCGGTTATGCGCACGCACGCACGCACGCACGCACGCACGCAGGTGACGATTTCGACGCTGCCCAACGAGTCGTGGGGCGTGGAGGAGTACAAGGACATCGCGCTCATGCGGCTGGGCGATCTGGCGGGCGGAGAGGAGAACATCCAGCTCAAGGACACCAAGATGGGCGGCCAGCCGGCCATCCAAGCCCGCTACGCCTCGCCCTCTGCTGGCACCACCAACCTTCACGTCTTCACCGGTACCCCTTCTCTCCTCCTCACGTTGGAGGTCAAATTGATCGATGCCGCGCGACCCTTCACTTATCTCTCTCTCTCTCCCTCTGGTCGTCTGCACCACCTCCTCCACCACCTCCACCGCGACCAGTCAAGGACGGCAAGGCCTACAACATTGCCTTTTCCACCAACACGCCCAAGAACGACACCCGTCCGTACCCCATCTTCGCGCGCATCCTGAGCTCCTTCACCATCTTGTCGCCCGGGTACACGCCCAAGGCCAAGATCCTGGCCCTGGAGCACCTCGTCCACAAGGCACCCCCACCACTCCCACTCCCCCTCTACCTACCCAACGCACGCACGCATGCGCATTGCCTCGGGGGTCGGCGCAGAGAGGCTATAACGCGCGTGTGGTCTTTGCGCCTTTGCAGGTCTCGTTCGAGTTCCCCGAAGACGAGTGGCTGCCGAGGGAGGGCATGATGATGACCACGGTGTCCTTTGAGCACGGCATGACCGACGAAGGCGCGCCTCGTTCGAACGTCAACCTCGTGATCACGGACCTCAACACTGCGCCCATCAACGTTAGCTCGCTCGACGAATTCGCCAGCATTGTGCGCGAGCAGCTCGCCATGGCCGTCGACTCGCTCAGCTTCGTGCACGAGAAGGTGCGAAGTGCACCTTCGCGCTCGCCTCGCTTTTGTTGTTGTTTCACCGCCTCATCCCCTCCTCTGCCACGCTCGCACACAGAAAGTCAAGATGGGCGGCAAGGACGCTCGCGAGCTGCGCTACAAGGGCACCATCTCCGACAGGGAGTTCGGCTTCCAGCAAACGTTCACAGTCCTCGACAACAACGCCTACGTCATCTCCTTCTCTTCGCTCCTCGGCGACTTTGACACCGAGATCGAGCTTGCCCTTCCCATCATCGAGTCCTTCCACTTCCTGTGATGTCGCGTGGGCAACGGAAGAAAAAGCCATTTCCTTTCTCTCTTTGTGGTTTATTTTCTTTTCTGTGCGAAACGCAAGATGGAGGGTGGTGGAGGCGACGCGAAATCTCCTCCGGGAGCGTCACCAAGAGGCCCGCCGCATGCGGGGAGGGGCAGCGACAACGCGGCAGGTGGGGCAGCAGCATGCCCTGGACGCCTACAACAAGCGCCTCGACTCAGCCGTGGCCAAGCTCAACGAGCACTACGCCAACATCCTCAAATCTGCCAAGGTGCACACCGCCCGCTTTCCCAACCACAGCCACCACGTGTGATGCGTGTTGCTGCCATTGCTTGGCACACGGCCAACCATTTCGACGGCACCAGGTCGGTGACAAGGTGAAGGTGCTTGGAGAGGAGTTCCAAGTCGACGTGCAAACCAGCAACCTGGTACGGATCCTGCCTGCTGCCGCGCCTCTCTTTGTCTTCTCCGTCTCTCCTAGCCCGTACCACCACCACCACCGAGAGGGTGGCCATCAGAGGCGCTGATTCTGAGCCCGGGGTGACCCACCGCGTTGCGTGCGCACACACCAGGTGACTGCCGCAGAGTCACTGCTTACGTTGATCTCGGAGCTCAAGCAAGCGGTGCTGCTCCACGACTTTGAGACCCGCAATGCCGAGGTCACCACACGCGCCCAGCAATACCGCGATCGCCAGGACAAGACCAAAAAGGCACGCGTGCCGGGCTGCGTTCTCCGCTCCGGGCTGCCGTACTTACCGTTCAGTGTGTGTGTGTCGCATCCGTGCGTGCCGGTGTCGGATTGGCCCCGCTGCCAGGTTCTGCAAACGTTGCACCGGGAGGTACAGGACGCTTTGCTCGAGCTCAGCGAAGAGTACGTTGACCGATGACCACAGCACGCCGTGGACCCCCACAGCTCATTCACGCACCACCCTCCGCAGAGCTTGGTGAAACGGCAACACTTGGCGCGCGTGTGCACATCGTAGCCTTGCTTGGGGGGCCAATCCCACGTTCGCGTGATATACCACCACTCCGCCGTCGTGACAACAGGACCCCCGACCGCCGCGGAGGAGTGTTGTGAACCACAGGTTGAGGAGTCTTGGCCGGGAGTTTGTCGTTGTCTCTGTCATGCCCCTTCTTCTTGGCACCACACAACACGGGGAATGCAAGTGGTTGCTCCACAATCGTGTGACCCAAGAAAAACGAGAAAAATTACGTTGTGGGAGTTGAGCGAGTGGAGCCACAGATCAACTGCGGCGCGAGCACTAGATTCCACCACCACCACCAAGCATTGATTGTCCACACACGCAGGTGCGCCCACCACACCGGTCTCCCTCGCGCTCTGCCAGCTTTTGCCACCGGGCCTCCCTCGCCTAACTGACACGCGATCTCTTTCGATTTAGTGCGCGACAGTCAGCGACAACGATCAAAGAATCCAGCGACGCCACCAACTACACATATCCATCCACACGTACATATACCAATAACGAGCAACAATGGCGGAGCAGGACACAGGCATGGACCAGGTAACCCCCTCCCTTCTCTCTTGCTCTAGTCCTTTTCTTTTTTCTTCTTTTTTTCTTTTTTAATCATGTAAAATAATGAAGTACGGTTGCCATTGTTGCTTGCTCACTCGGTTTGCTCTCGGCGTGTGATCGCGACAGGTGCTGGAAGCCGTGGCTGACGCGGTGGCGCAGCTGGTCATGTTCTCGGTCGAGGCCGAGGAGAACAATTCCATTCTCCCCGACATCGTGCCTGGCGCCCAGGGTACCCTCTCTCTCTCTCTCTCTCACTCCTCCTCCTCCTCCTCGTCGGGGACTGCAGCCGGCTCGTGTTGAGATACAACTTTGGCGATGGTTGACATGAAGCTGAACCACTGGTGTGTGTGTGTGTTGTGTGGTGTGTGTCATGTAATGAAATAAAAACAACCGCAGCGGTGCAGGGTGCGGTGAATGCGCTGGTGGACATTGCGAGCCAGATGGCGCAGCGGTACGGGTCGGAGCCCAAGATCCAGCAGAAGATGCTGGAGGCGGCGACGACGATCCGGGGTGCGACGCAGCAGATCGTGAACGACGCGACGACGCTGTCGCGGGACCAGATGAGCCAGCAGGCCAAGAAGAGCCTGCTGCGGTCGGCCAAGGAGGTGCTGCAGGGCACGGTGTCGGAGCTGCACCTGGCGGACAAGTACGACGTCATCAAGCTGGTCAAGGCGGCCACGCTGTGCAAGGACGACGTGCAGCGGTCCTACGGGGTGACGACGGCGGACCAGATCATGGACGTGGCGCGCACGCTGTCGGCCAACGTGGTGGCCACGGTGAAGCTGGTCAACCAGCGCATCGCCATCCTCGTGGACCCGATCTTCCGGCGGCGCCTGGACACGGCCAACGAGATCGCCAAGAACAGCATCCAGAGCCTGGTGCGGGCCATGGGCGACGTGGTCAAGCGGCCGGCCGACGCGACGGCGCGCGCCGAGCAGCGGCGCATCTCGCGCGAGTTCGAGGAGGCCATGGACGAGATCATCGAGGTGGCGCGCCTCTCGTGCAAGTCCATGTTCGAGGGCCTCGACCTGGACTTTGGGCTCGACCCGCCGGCGCGCCCGACGCTGCTCGAGCTGCGCGCGTGCCACGAGCGCATCGTGCGCGAGGTGGGCAACCTGGACGCCGCGGCCAACGCGCGCACGCCCGAGGCGGCGGCGCACGCGCTGCACATGATCAACGCGGCCATCATGAACGAGGTGCGGCTGGCCACGGAGATCGCCGACTCGTGCGCCGAGGACGTGCACAAGATCAACATCCTCGAGGCCTGCGACCGCGTCGAGAAGATGCCCTCGGAGCTCACCCCGGCCGCCAAGGACACCCTCCGCCGCGCCGCCGACCCGTCGGCCAAGGCCCGCCTCGAGACCTTTGAGCAGCAGACCATCGACGCCTCAGCCGCCGTCGTGGCCGCCGTCGCCCTGTCGTCGTCGGCCAAGGACAACCTGATCACCATCGGCCGCGAGATGGACCTCCACCTCACCCAGCTCGACGACGGCGTCGACGAGAAGAACAAGGCCAAGGCCGCCAAGGCCGCCAAGAACGTGGCCGACGACATCAGCAACGCCACCATGATCGCCACCGCCATCGCCGACGCCGCCGAGGACCCGCGCACCGCGTCGGCCGTGCGCGCCGAGGTGGACAACATCAACGCCCTCGCCCCGGGCCTCATCAGCGCCACCAAGGCCGCCATCGCCGAGCCCAACAACGCCCTCGCCGCCGCCGCGCTCCACAAGGAGACCGGCGCCATGCGCGAGGCCAAGGACCGCCTCATCGACGCCGCCACGCTCAGCCCCGAGGAGCTCCTGGCCAAGCGCGCCCGCGAGCTCGCCGACGAGCTCCGCAAGCTCGAGGAGGCCATCCGCGCCGGCAACCTGCCCGAGGTGGCCGCCCGGCTCAAGGCCGCCAAGGCCAAGATCGCCGACCAGCTCGCCCTCGCGCGCGCCCTCGCCGCCGCCTGCACCGACCCGGTGCGCCGCAAGGAGCTCGAGGCCGCCATCGCCGAGCTCGAGCGCCTCGAGGGCCAGCTGCTCCCGGTCTCCAAGGCCGCCCTCTCCGGCGACAAGGCCGCCCTCGCCGAGCTCGAGCGCCTCCTCACCGAGCTCGGCCGCGTCGAGCAGCGCCTGCAGGACGCCGCCAAGCCCACCCCCGACGAACACCTCCGCCAGCTCAACGCCGACGTCGCCGAGAACCTCGCCCTCCTCGCCGACGCCCTGGCCCGCGGCGACATCGCCGCCGCCCGCCGCGCCACCGACGCCATCCGCCGCGCGCTCGACAAGGAGATCGACCTCCTCCGCCAGCTAGAGGAGCAGGAGACCGACCCGCACCGCCGCCGCCAGCTCGCCGAGGTACGCGAGCGCCTCGAGCGCCTGCGCCCCGAGTTCGACGCCGCCGCCAACCACGCCCTCGAACACCCCGACGACCCCGCCGCCCGCGCCGCCCTGGAGCGCGTGCTCCGCGAGCTCGAGGCCGCCGGACGCAACATGGACCGCATCTTCCCCTCCGAGGACGAGCGCATGGCCCAGCTCGCCGACCGCATCAAGCGCGACCTCGACCAGCTCCACGCCGCCGCCCAGAAGGGCGACAGCCCCGCCACCGCCACCGCCGTCAAGACCGCCGTCAGCGACGTCGGCCAGCAGCTCGCGCTCGCCTCCGTCCTCGGTAAACCCCCCCTCTCCCCCCCAACACAAAAGAACCCACACACCACACCACCACCACCACCACAACAACCAACAACAGTAAGACAAACGTGCAAACGCTGACCGCTTGGTGCCATACATGCAGCGGACAAGGCGACGGATCCGCTCCAGAAGCGCAAGATCCAGGAGGAGATGGGCAACGTGAAGGCCCTCACCCCGCAGCTGGTGCAGGCCACCAAGGGCTACCTGGCCAGCCCCAACGACCCCAAGTCCCTCGAGGCCCTCCGCGTACACGCCACCTCCCCCCTTTCCTTTTTCTACTAATTGTTGTTTGTTTTTTATTCATTTATTCTACTGTATTTGCAACGTGCCGCTTACTGACGACCCCCTTCCTTTTATTCTTGCGCGTGCACAGAACGCCATCAACGACATCAACGCGGCGGTGCAGGCTCTGAGCGCGGCGTCGACCATGCCGCCCGAGCAGCAGCTGGTGGAGCAGGCCGCCGCCATCAGCTCCGCCCTCGCCGATCTCCAGCAGCACGCGGGGCAGGGCGATCGCGAAGCCACCGCTGTTGACAACCGCCTCATCTCCAACGCCGGTACCTCCCACCTCCCACACCTCCCACCACCACCCTCATCACCACCATCCACCAATGCGCGATGGGTTATATCCCCGACCCGCGGACTAACACGCCGGGGGGTGTTGTGTGTCGTGTGTCCAGTCCCGAGGCAGGTGGACCTGCTGCAGCAGTTCGTGGAGTCGCAGGGCGACAACCCCTACCAGAAGGCCCTCGTCGAGAAGGAGGGCGCCGCCCTCAAGCGCCTCGTCCCCGAACTCCTCACCGTGCGCACCACCCCGCCCCGCCTCCCACGCCCCCCCCCTCTACCCCACCACCTCGACACCACCCCACAAGAGGCGCCCTAGGGCGGTTTTTTGTTCGCACGATGCTCGATCTGTACTTACCCAACTCTCCCCCCCCCCGATCATCCACAGGTGTCGACGCGGGTGGCGGGCAACCCGAACGACCAGGCTGCCAAGAAGCAGCTGGCGGAGCTGGTGGAGAGCGCCAAGAGCCTCAACAACGCCCTCCTCTCGGCCACCACCTCCCCCGACGACCAGATCCTCACCACCACCTCCACCGTGGGCCAGGAGCTGCAGCGCCTCGGTGCGCACCCCCTATTACCTGTTATTATTCTTATTATTATTGTTATTACATATTGTTTATTACTATTTGTAATATTAATTGGTTGGTGGTGGTGGCGCGCGTTGGCGGAGCGCAGGCAAGGCCGTGGAGGAGCGGGATATGCCGGCGACCGACGCCTCGCTCAAGGCGCTCAAGGACGCCATCGCGCAGGAGGCCCTGGTGGTGCGGCAGCTTGCGGACAAGGAGACCGACCCGCAGCGCAAGAAGGACCTCCTCGACGCCATCAACTCGCTCGAGGGACTCCTCTCCCAGCTGGGCCTCGTCGCCAAGGCGGCGGCGACGGGCGACCAGCGGGCCAAGGCGCAGTTTGACCAGATGGTGCGAGACATGGAGGCGGCCAACAACCGCATCGCGGAGCTGACCACCAAGCCCACCAAGCAATTGATCGCCGAGAACGCCAACCAGCTCCACCGCAACCTCGATCAGCTCGCCGACTCCCTCAACAAGGGTACAACGCTAGTTGCCCCCCCCCTCGTGCGATTGGGAGCGGGCAGGCACACGACCCGATCTCACGCGCGCGTGTCGTGTCGTGTCGTGTATTGCTGTGCGTGCTGCACGCACAGGCGACAAGGAAGCGGCCAAGGCCCTGCTCGGTGCCACGCAGAAGGGGCTGCTCAAGCAGCAGAACCTGGTGAAGGCGCAGGCCAACAGGACGACCGACCCGCGCCAGCGGAAGGACCTCCTCGCCGCCCTCCACGACCTCGATCGCGTGCTCAACGACCTGCCCCTCAGCGTGCGCAGCGCCATCAACAACCCGGCCGACAACCCCAAGGCCCTCAACGACATCCGCTCCGCCCACGGCGCCGTCGACAAGTGCGCTCCTCCTCTCTTTTCTTTTCTTTTCTTTTCATTTCATTTCATTTTTTTCCGCCCCGTGGCGGTACCTTGGGTCTGACCACTCCGCGTACGGCCTCGTCTTCTTTCTTTTTCTTCTTGTCTTCTTCGTCTTCTTGTTTTGGTGCAGGAGCGTGAACGCGGTCAAGGCCAACGAGGAGTTCGAGCTGTTGACGGTGTTCAACCGGATCACGCACAACGTCAACGCGGTGCCCCACTCGGTGCAGACCAACAACGTGCCGGCGCGCAACGAACAGGTGAAGGGCATCAAGGCCGGCATCGACGAGGAGAAGGCCCTGGTGGACCAGCTCAGGCAGCGCGGTGACGCCAAGCTGGACGAGGGCAAGGTGCGGGGCGCGCTGGCCGACGTGGACAGCTCCTTCAAGGAGTTCCTCCAGCAGGTCCAGGTGGCCTCCGCGGCGCCCACCTCCGCGTCCGAGCTCAAGAAGCTGGCCGACGCCGGCGAGAAGCTCAAGCAGCACCACGTCAAGCTCTTCCACGGCATCCTCGGCGACCCCGCCAAGCTCGCCGACGCCGTCATCGACACCAACTACGCCCTCGACGACTCCCTCGACCGCCTCCAGGCCGCCGTCAGGCGCGGCAACCGCCAGGACGCCACCGACGCCCTCCACGGTACTAATATATTTATTTAAATAATTACACTCCGCCTAGCACCAGCCACCACCGCGGATGCTGACGTGTCTTTCGAATGGTGTGACAGATGCGGTGGACAACCTGGAGAAGCAGGCCGTGCTGATGTCGCTCCTCGCGGACCAGACGACGGACCCCAAGCAGAAGCAGGCCCTCAAGGCCCTCGCCCAGAAGTTCACCGACGCCAAGGCGCGCCTCACCGCCGACACCCACCAGGCCCTCGCCCACCCCAACGACAAGGCCGCCCAGGACAAGTTCCACGTACCGTGCCCTCTTCTCCTCTCTCTCTCTCTCTCTCTTTGGTGTGTGTGTGTGTGTTGCCTGCGTACCTGGCGGGCCTCTCACACAACGAGACCGGCGTTCGTGGCCGTGTGTCGTGTCGTGTCGTGTTCTCCATACACAGAAAACGGTGCAGGACACCAAGGCGCTCAACGCCGAGGCGGTGGTGCAGAGCCATGCCGACCTGGAGAGGGACATCAGAAACGGGCAGAAGGCCATCGCCGACAAGATGCAGGCCATCATGAACGCCCTCAACGCCGGCGACAAGGAGACCGCCGAGCGCCTCCTCCAGGAGCTCGAGAAGGACCTCAAGAAGCAGGCCGTACCGTCTCCCCTCCCCATCGCTCCCCTTAAGGGTGCTGGCCGCGTAATAACATTTGTTGTTGTTATTATTTGATTGTGGGCCGGCGACGTGCAGATCTTGTGCAAGGTGATGGCCGGCCGCACGACCGATCCGCGCAAGAAGAAGCAGTTCCTGGACGCCGCCGCCAACCTGCAGAGCATGCTCAACCAGCTGGGCGGACCCTTCCGCGACCTCCTCATGAAGAAGGGCGGCGAGAAGGTAAACACCTCCCCCGCTTCGTGACCCACGTGAGTTGTTGCCCGCTCGACTCGTCGCTGATCGGACCCTATGTTGTGTGTGTGGTGTGTGGTGTGTGTCGTGTGTGTCGAATACCGCGTAGGACGCGGCCGAGTTCATGAACAAGCTCTTCAACGACGTCTTCAAGGTCAACCAGAAGATCGAGGACGGCCTCGCCGAGGAGAAGGAGGAGGAGGAGGAGCCCAAGGACGAGATCATGCAGGCCGCCAGGCACGTCGAGAAGGTCGTCAACATGAAGGGTACGCGCGCCCAAGATCTCTCGTCATTGCCCATCACGCACTGCGCGTTGCACGAGAGATCGGGTCTGACGCGTTCCATTGCTGTCTTGTTTTGTCGTTTGCGTTGGTTGGTTGGCGCCCGACACAGAGATCAACGCTGACACGGCCGAGGGCCGCATCTACCTCGCCGCTCGCAAGATCGCCGAAGAGATGGCCCTCATGTCGCAGGCCGCTGCCCGCGGCGCCAACTCTGAGGTTCGCTGCCATCCACCCCCGCATCCATCCCTGCATCCATCCCTGCATGCGTGCATACGTCCACGCATTCTCGAGTTGAGTGCGTGGACTGGGCCGATCAATCCGTGTGCTCACGGCGTGGCGCCGCACTGCAGGTGATCGTCATCTCTCGCCGCATCCACGCCCTCGTGGGCCAGGTGGGGACCAACTCCAAGGCCGTGGCCGACGCCTGCAAGGACCCCATCCTCCGCGACCAGGCACGGATCTATATCTTCTTCTTCTCCTTCTTCTTCTTCGTGGCTTCGAGACTTTTCGCCCTTGTCCGAATATTCTATCTAACACACCTCCCCCGCCCACGTTATGTTGTGGGCCGTACGTACATGTGCGTACAGGTGATGTCGATCACGCACGCCATCAACAACATCTCCGTGCAGCTCAAGATCATCACCGCCGTGAAGGCTGCGGGCGGCACCACCGACAACTCTGTCAAGGTACCGGTCCCCCTTTGCCTCCACTGCTCACGTCTTCCTGGGTCGCCGCGCTGCTGGGGTGGCTGACAAAACAAACTTGCGTGGTTCGTGCTCTCCCATCTGTGTGTGCAGGCCCAGCTGGTGAAGTGCGCCAAGGGCCTGGCGTCCAACGTCGTCAATGTGTGCAACGCCGTGGAAATCGCCTCCATTCGCGTCTAAGTCCACACCACCACCACCACCACCACCACCACCACCACCACCACCACCACCACCACCACCACCACCACCACCACCGTGTGCAGTCATGTCCCAATGTAAAGAAGCACTTCTTCCCCCCCCCTTCAATACGCTCTTCGCCTTTAGCTTCAGCAAGGCCGCTGTTTAGCCCCCCTTCTTGGGGCCGACACGTTCGCTCTTCCGGGACTTGGTTTTGCAGGTGCCGGCGAACTTTTTCCCGTCCTTCCGGCTCATCTTGGTGGGATCCTGCCGCGCGCGGTGGAAGGCCGGGTCGGCTGCAAGAAAGAAAAGGAAGAGGGGGAGAGGGGGGGGGGGCTTGTACCTTAATCTTGCCCTTGCCCGCCACCTTCTTCCCGCACTTGGCACACACCTCGTCGCAGCGCTGTTCGACGGAGCAGTACCCGCACACCTGCCACATGAGCACGCGGGGGCGAACAAGGAGGGGCGGAGGAATGAGCTGGCTTGCCAATGTGGCGGTGGCGGTGGCGGTGGTACCATTTTGGATGCCCACTTGGCCTCGTGATCCGACTGTCGCGAGCAAGAGAATAAAGCCCCCAATCATGCAAATGCACATCAGCCAGGGCGCCACCATTCGACGGAAATGGGAACGAGAGGAAGAGGAGGAGGAGGAGGAGGAGGAAGCGCACGGCGTCGTTGTGGCAGTCGTCGCACGGAAACGCCCGCCCACAGCACGGAAATCTGATCTCAGCCGATCGGGGAGAGCGTAAGTGAATGAAGGAAGGAAGGAAGGAAGGACGGAATAAGAGGGATACATAGAAAGGAGAGGGCTGGTCATATGGGGGAGAGGGGGGTAGGAGGTGGTTTACCGCAGCCACCGGTAGGAGTGGGAGTAGTGGGCGCAGGCGCCATGCTGGGGCAGCGGATCCCCCTCCTTCAGCCCCGGGATCTTGACCGCCTTCTTCTTGGGCTTGTCGGGGATCACTTGAGTGCGCACACGCACACACGCACGCGTGTGTGTCAGAGTGAGTGAGAGAGCGCGCGCGCGTTGGGTGGGCTTACCGAGGCCGGGGGGCGGGGGCCGTTTCTTCTTGTGGAAGGTGAGGTGGTGGATGGCGAGGGCCATGCGGTTGTGGCACTTGGTGCACGTGCGCTCCGTCACGCGGTCAAAGGCGAGGGCCGAAAACACGTTCCGCTCGCCGCACTCGAAGCAAAACCCGGCGAAGTTGGACGGCAGCGCGTCCAGCGGATTGCAGCCCTGTGTGCGACGAGCACGCGTGCGTGCGTCAGTAGACCCCCCCCCCACTCCTTCTCTCTATAAATGTTGCGCGCGACGCGACACGCACGCCTCGCCGTGGCAGCATTCAAGCGGACACGTGCGGGGAGGAAAAGTGGGGGGGGGTCAATACGTCGGCCTCGAGCTGGCCCAGGAGAGAGGAGCCCTCGTGCACGGGGAGAGCGTGCAGCGCCAGCGTGTGCGGCAGGCGACAACCACCGCACTCCGTGTTCTTTGGGCGGCCTGCGACCATGCCACACAATACAACACAATGCAATGACCCAAGTACAACGCGCCACCGGTGGGTGAGCCGTTGCGCGCGCGCGCGCGCTGTGTGTCACAACGGGGAAAGGGCTGATGGGAGCGGTACCAGGCACGAGGGTGACCTCGCTTTGCCGGGAGCAGCGGTAGCACGTCACCACGAGCCCCAGCGTCATGCATTCCACCAGGCCCACGTTGGCCAGGCTACGTGCCGGGTGTGCGTGCCGGGTGTGCGCGTCGGGTGTGTGTCGTGCAGTGTCACGCCGCGTCGGTGTCAGCTTCCCCAGCAGGCAGCGGGGGGGGGAGTGATTGTGGCGCACGTGAGTCCCGAGCACTGCAGATCGATGGCCTTGGGGGCCTTGGGCGGTTGGCTGCCGCCACCGCCGGCGGCGGCAGTGGCAGGGGCGGGGGCCGGACGATCGTCCCTCTTGCCTCTGCCCTGCTCCTCTTCATCGTCGTCGTCGTCCTCCTCCTCTTCACCTTCTTCGTCCTCTTCGCCCTCGTGCTCCCGCGCGTGGGCCTTCTCGGGGCGGGCGGGGGTGGCCGCCTCCCGCTGCTTGCTGCTGGCGGCGTAGGAGGCCGGGTCGTGGATGACGTACCGCCGCTGCGAGAGACCCTCCAGCGTCTGCGTAAGGTACGTCGACGCCAGGAACTCGGCATCCGACTGAATGCACGCACGCACGCACACATCGCACACGGTGCACGCGAGTTAAGGGGGGGGGGATGTGACCACGCTAGGGTCTGGGCGGAGGAAGGCCTGCGTACGAGGAGGACGGGCAGGCCGCGTTGGTCGAGCCAGCGGAGGAGGGCGAGTACGACGGGCCGGCCCTTCTGGTGTAGCACGCGGGCCTGCTCGTTCATCGCATCCGCTATCTTCCTGCACGCCCACCCCCACCCACCCAGCAATCAATCAAACATTCAATCAATCAATCAATACACCAGCCACCAGCCACCAGCCACCACCGGAGTGAGTGGGTGCGGGGAGCGGACGGGTGGGCGGGGAGGGCGGGCGGAACTTGTTGAGGGGCGCGGGCAGGGCGGGGTCGTCGACCTCGACCAGGCACACCACCTGCGGGTACCCCTCTGCGCTCCCATCCGGGCCACCGCCGCCGTCAGTATTTGGCATCGTCATCAGCAGGCAGCAGGCAGCAGGCAGCAGGCAGCAGGAGCGCGGCGCCACATCCTGGTACTACCGGCCGCAGCGGACATGAGCGGCAGCAGGGGCTCTGGCGCAGGTCTACGTAGGGCTACGTAGCAGGTGGTGTGTACCGGGGAGGGTGAAGCGGAGGCGCACGCCATCGACGTCGTAGGGGAAATTAGGGTCCGAGGGGGTGAAGGTGAACGCGAACCGGACCGGAAAGTTGGCACTGCACCCCCCACACACACACACACACATCGATCAAAGAGTGCGTCGTGAGCACGCGCCCCGCCGCTGAGGACTGCTGGCCACGTGCGTGCGCACGTGGGGGGGGGGTGTATTACCTGAATATCTTGAAGTTGCGGTTGTGGTCGGCACGCAGCTGTCGCAGCTCGGCCTTGACGAGGGCCACCTCGCCGCCACCCGCACCTGCAGGTGCGCCCTTGGCGTCCGCCATGTTCTTGTTTGTTTTCCTTCCTCCTTTCTTTCGCCTTTCCTCTTTTTTCGCGTCTGGTTTATTTTATTTTTTTATCTTTGTAATTTGAAACGAACAAGATGGAGGGCGTCGTACCGCGCCCTGCCGTGGAGGAGGAGGAGGTGGTGGGGCTAGCTCGCACCCTCATCGACATTGAGTCGGTCACGGGCAACGAGGGCCAGGTAGCCCACTACGTACGCGACTGGCTTCTCAAGCGAGGTGGGTGCCACCACCCCTTCCCCCCTGGGCCAGCTACGCGCGTTCCGTTGTTCTTGGGGCACAGGGCGCGAGCCTGCCATGCTGCTCACTGTTTTTCCCTTTATACTGTGTGCGTGTGTGTGCGCGCGCGCGGTGGTGCGTGCGTGTGTGTGGTGGTGCGTGCGTGCGTCGTGTGTGTCGTGTGTGTGTGGTGACACCAGGGTGGGTGGTGGAGCTGCAAGAGGTGGTGGCGGGTCGCTGGAACGTGTACGGGCGCACGGCGGGAGGCGCGGGGAAGAACCCGCGGGTGGTGGTCAACAGCCACCTGGACACGGTGCCGCCGTTCTTCGCGTCGTCCGTCGACGCCACCCACGTGCGCGGACGCGGCGCGTGCGACACCAAGAGCCTCATCGCCGCACAGCTCCTCGCCGTCCAGCAGCTCGTGCGCCAATCCTCTCTCCCTAAATACCTTCACGCAACTCGACACGACACGACACGACACACACCCGATGCTGCACGACATGCAAATGATCTGACGTCGCGAACGTCAAACCACACACACACACACACACGACACACAAATTTATATATATATATATATACACACACACCACGACGCATCAGGTGGAGGAGGACAGCCCCGGCAAGGACGACATCGCCCTCCTCTATGTTGTGGGAGAGGTACGCCCCCTCCCCCCAACCTTGGGATTTTATATAGATCTATTATCACCTTAAGCGAAAGGTGTGTATCATCTCTACATGTTGATCTCACACGAACCTGCGCGGGCGGTGGCGCGGCGCTGTCATCAGGAAACCGATCACGTGGGCATCACGAAGGCCAACGAACTCGGGATCGACCCGCGCTACCTGGTAGGGCGCCTATCCCCAGGTCCCCATTGCCCGCCTCGCGCCGGGCACTCACCCGTGACCCATCCTATCCATCCTATCCATCCATCCATAGGTCGTGGGGGAGCCAACGGAGTCGAAGATGGTGAAGGGACAGAAGGGCTACCTCGGCATCACCCTCCGCGGGGAGGGGATAGCTGCCCACTCGGCCTACCCCGGTATGCCACGCTCACATATGTCTATTCCTATTTATGTATCTATTACTTTATTACCTGTTCTACCCACATTCGGTCATTCCTCACCACACACACGACACCACGGCACCACGGCGGGCCACGCGTGCGGCAGAGCGGGGCAAGTCGGCAATTGAGCCCCTCTTGGACGTCCTCCAGGACCTGCGGGCCGATGTCGAGACCTGGCCCCACCACCCCGTACGCCCTCCCCCCCTCTCATTATTATTTGTTATTTATTCATTGTTGCTCATTATTATTCTTTTTCTTATTAATCCCCAATGGCTGCCATACGGTGGTCGGCATGACCATTAGCGCAGGTGCTGGGCAAGGCGACGATGAACATCGGAACCATCCAGGGCGGCCTCGTCCCCAATATCGTGCCCGAGTCGGCGGCGGCGCGTCTCTCCTTCCGCATCGTGGACCCCATGCAGCAGATCATCGAGCGAGTCACCCAGGGTACGGTGCCCTTTCTCCCATTGAGGCACGACGCAGTGATTGATGGTGGTGATGATGATCGTGGTGGCCATGGTGTTCGTGGTGCTGCTGCTGATGTGGAGCAGTGGTGGCCGGACGCGTGAAGATCGAGGTGGAGCCCTCCATGGAGGCCATCGAGCTGGAGGTGGTGGAGGGCTATCCCACGGACGTCGTCGGTTTCGGCACCGATATCCCCCACTTCCGCTTCAGTGGGCGGGTACGTCACCAGCCCCCTCTCTTGGATGGTGGTTTGGTGTCACTCCGAATGCACGCGTCCGCCTGGTCTGACGCCGCCGCCACGGGCACCACACACAGGCAATTCTGTGGGGCGCCGGCAGCATCCGAGATGCCCACGGGGCCGACGAGAAGATCGCAATCGCCGACTTGGTGCAGGCCGTGCAGAGCTACAAGCACATCATCTCCACACTAGCTTCTCGCCCCAGCTAGCACCCCAATGTTCTGGCTTCTTGCGACAACACTTGGAGACAACAAGACAGGTCTCCCAACCACCCTTGCTCCTTGAGACTCTTGGTCCCTTGACAACACTTCTCTCGCTCCTTGGCCCGAGTGTATCATTTTGCGCTCTCTGCTGGTTTCCATTTCCTTTTACTATAATTAAAAATAAAAACTGAGGGTGCGTGCTCGTCATTCCATGCCGGAAAAGGAGGACCACCTTTCGGGTGGGGAAGCTTCTTCTGCCTTGTGCGCTTGCGATTAGCCATCTTCTTGCGATCCGAATCTTTTTTCCATTCGATCCTTCCTCCTTGAAAGCAGAGATGGCGAACACAAGCGGATTGTATGGCTATTATGACGTCAACCCGATGAGGAGGTCCATCATGACCTTCAACATCGATGACGGCTTTCCTGAGGCCATCGTTCGCGGCTATCGCTCCGGCATTCTCACCCCCGCCGACTACGCCAATCTTACCCAGTGCGAGAGCCTCGAGGGTACGACTGCCCTTCGTGGTCCATCCTCTCGCCCCTTGCCGTGCTCATTCTTTCAAAATACGCAGACATGAAGCTGCACTTGGCGTCCACGGACTACGGTGATTTCCTCCAGAATGAGCCCTCCCCCATTCACACCACCACCATTGCCGAGAAGTGCACCCAGAAGCTCATCGAGGAGTTCCAGTACGTGCGGGCCAACTGTTTCGAGCCCCTCAGCACTTTCCTCGACTACATCAGGTGCCCCCCCCCGCCGCTCATTTTTCGCATTTAATCGCTCATTTTCCCCCATGTCAATTTTACTCATAATCTCCACATCAGCTATGGCTACATGATCGA